ATTGTGTTTTTTTAAATGATTTCCATACAGAAAACCATTCGGAAGGAAAAATATTTTTTCCGGTTCATAAAAATAAATACTTGAGATATTTTCCAAAATCAAGAAGTGTTACTTAAGTCAACAATTAATTGTTCTTTGAAATTTTATTTACTTGAAACCTTATAAAAAATAGAATATTTATTATTTTATGCTTTAGCCATTTTCATGGCTATTTCGATATCCTATTTTCTGCAATAAGTGGTTACTCCGTTGTATTTATATGCGTTGAAAGATGGTTTTCTGTATGGAAATCATTTAAAAAAACACAATATGTTACATTTAAAACAACATTAATAACTGTTATCATATATATATCATTATCAGTATTTGGTTCTTTATGGTTTCCGTTTGCATTAAATTATAACTCAGATCAACCGAAATCCGACGAAAAATGCAAACTATCACGACCAATGATATATAAAATATTTGGAACAATATCCATTATATTTACTTATGTTGGTAAGAACAAGATAAAATGTTAATTTAAATTAAATTTTTTGTTAATTTAGTACCTTTCTTTTTTCTTGTCATACTTAATATTCTTATTGTCCATCGTTTACATACTCGTCAAAATACATCAATAAACCGTGCAATAGCCCAAACTAATGATGTAGTTATTCATGATACATCACCAGAAACATCATCAACACGTAAAAGCATGCAAAAACAACAAAATATTGATCGAAATATAACATTTATGTTAATAACTGTTGCTATTGTCTTTATGGTTATGAGATTTCCGTGGCAGTAAGAGAAAATTTCGACGACAGAAACAAAATTTTGTCTTTTTTTTCAAATAGAATCTAGTGGTTGTACATGCAAATTCATCGAATGACTACACCAAACATAACTTTATTTATATTAACACAAACATTTCGTTATTTAAATTGTTGCTGTAACTTTTTTCTTTATTCAGCTACATCATCATTATTTCGTCATGAATTATGTGAAATATTTCAATGGACACATTCACTTCAATCAAATCATAAACCTATAAATATAAAAGATGATTATACAACAAGACCATTACTAAATCTCCCGTTTTCTGCTATTGATAAAGATAATACTCCATTGGAACGTGAAAATCTTTTGTCCTCAATAACTATAACAGCACAGACATCATCATTAAAAACATCTGATGGACAATTTAATATTCCTGATTCGACGAATGGGAGTATGCCTTCACATAAAATATAGTTTCTTTTATTTATTGATGTTTTCTATTTTGCATTTATTCATTAAAACAAATATATATACAAAAAAATTCGTCTCAACGAAAAGAAAGAGTCATTTATTTTCTAAACAAAAAGAAATTACTTCTTGAGACGATAAAAACCAATTTTCTGAGATATTTTATGTAAATAGTAAAGTCTCAATTAGCTATGTGCTTTGATCAATGACTCAATAGCATGAAAGATAAAATTTACAAATAGAAATATGATTGACTGTATAGATTAGATATATGTCATAATGATTAAATAATATCGTATGAGAAGAATGTCAAGTTTTGTTTTTGTTCATTCTATAGAACCTATTTATATAGATTCTTGACATAATATATTTGTTTTGGTTTTCAATTACTAATAAGTGGTCGATAAGAATGATATGTCTTGAGCTAAAAATGAGAATTTCAAGAAAGCTTGAACTATATTTTTGTAAGAATATTTTTTGACTTTAGGGAAGATTTATTCTGTGCAAATCTCTTATTAGAGTAAAAACAATATCGAGCATATGAGAACTAATGTATTAAATATGGTCATAGGTTTATATTGAGATAGCTGCATTTTAAGCTTATAGGTCGTTGGTTTGCCAAGTAAGAGACACGTAGTAGAAACAGTTATTACCTAGATAACTATGCAATAAACAAATAAATATAATTTGTATTATCTGATACCTTTATGCAGTTGCTTCAGTTTTTGAAATTGGTTTTTATTTGATTATATATACTGAATTATTTCTTAATTTATATGAAGAATATGAGCTCTATATTTTAGTCTCTAACGAGCTGTGCTGATTAGCTTGTCTTCTTTTAAATTGTTATTCCAACTGCCGCAATTGTTAGTATAAGAGAGTTTGTTTTGTACATCAGTGGGTGGTATGAAATACGTTCTATAATAATGACCAATGTACTCATTAGAAAAGAGTAAGAGTGTCGGTGTGAGTGGGTGTGGGCGAGTGTAGGCGTGAGTATTGGTTCCTAGATCTGGCACATTCACACTGACACCCACACCCATCTCAAAGAGCAAGCGAAGCTCATGGAAGTCACTGATAAGAAAAACCTTATCGGTCGATATGGAAAAAATGAAATCGTGGTAAGGTTAGTTAGTGTTTTCGTAATACTGTTGCAAGTGTAACTTAGGACTATTGTTAGGTACTTTAATTTCTCAATTTATTTACATAATGATATCTAAAAGTGAACATGAGAACGTATTGCTCATGTTGAACGAGAGCAAATCATCAGTATTTACGATTATTCATAGCGACATACAAAAGAAAGTAATGATAGTTAATGGAATTCCTTAGGCTGAAGTGATAGAGTCTAGAAACCTTTATTCACCTGTGTCAGTCTGCCTGTAACACTTGGTACGAGTTACCATGAAGATGGCACAAAGGGTCATATCAGTGGCACAACGGATCATATCGATGTCTTAAACAACCATACATTTGGTCATTTGTACTATGGAAATCAGCGTAAGGTATCATAGGTCAGGATTCAAGTATTTCGTGAATAGATTCTCAATACAGTACTCTCCAACTCTGACAAGGCAACTCTTCAAGTAGAACTCAATGCGATCTATCAGATACACATCACATTTGCCTAACTTAACCAAACCTTTGCCCACAACACTCCACAAAACAGTGAAAAAACCAAAACTCTAGCAAAATCCGGAAAAACCTGTCGCGATTCGCCCAGGAGTATTCTCCAAGTGCAAGACACACCTCTCCAGATAGATCTCAGCGAGATCAAGCTGATGGACACCCTTTTACAACAGGGAAACAATGAGTTGTGAGTTTGTGAGTTAAATTGACTTTTGGGATTTAAGATGAGTTAATCTGAGTTTGTTGAGTTAAGATGAGTTTAGTGATTTAAGTAATGTAAATGATTCTCTTTAGTAAACGAAACTTTAGAATTATTTTGTAATTGCTTTCCTTTATGCAACACGTAGTTGAAACTCTAGCAAATTTATGTATAGTTTATTCCGATTGTTGATAACGGAATTACTGGAATAACGAATCAGTACATCAAAAATTAGGATAAATGTCATAATTAGGTGTATCTGCTTATGATGAGTGCTTTCATTGCAAAAAATATATAGGATGGCCCAGAAGTAAGGAAATATACGGTGGGGGATAAGGTGGTGTTGTAGACGATCACTTCCATTCGAAACAGAATTGCTCGGTTTTTCTCAGCATAAAAGTCCAAAAAATGAGTTGGTACTACCTTTAATGAGTTTTAGTGCACATTTTATGATCATGATCGCCCCATATTTCCACAGAAGCGCTTCGTATTTCCTTGAAAGCGCCCTCGTCTCCATCGAATTGTTCCACATGGAAAAATCTCAGATCCACCATTGGAAACACAGAATTTGTTCTATTTCTTCCTTGTACATCGTCAGTTAAACCTCATATTAGCAACACATACAGTAGGTGATACTAATTTAAAAAGCATAGCATTTGATCAGTCTTTGAGTGAAATAATTTCTGCAAAAGCATGCAATTACATCTCACTACTCGTCTGTGATTGTCACAGAAATTCGTTGTTCTTCAAGCTTCATTCGATCTTCATTTTGCTCTGCTTACCTCAACCTGTGAAATGAATCAGATTTAATTACATTTTGTACTGATTTAGGACAAAACTATGAAAATCGAATAGAGCTCGAAAGGCACCGAATTTCACGTTTAGTCACAGACGAGCAATACAATATATTTACATGCTGTTTCAGAAATTATTACACCCAAATACTGATCTAATGCTACATTTTTAGCTTAGTTTCATCTAGTTGATGGAATGCTAATAGGATGCCTGACTGATGATGTCCAAAGAAGAGATTGAAAAAATTGTGCTCTTTTGATTTTTGACCAACGTAAATACATCTTATAACCTTCCTTCTACTATATATTCGTTTGATTAGATATATTTATTATCAATTCAAGGTAGATCACATGTTGATTCATTCTCTGGAACGTAGGAATGCAAAGATATACTATTCAGTTTTGTTATAACAGTAATTTAACATATGGGACAAGAAGAGAGAGAGAGAGAAATTTTCTCTTGAACCTTATTTAAACGATCAGAAGACAAAATAGATTTAGTTTTTGATAAATACTGCTTTGCGGTCTATCTCCGCATATTTGTGCTATGAACATTGACCTCGACGAGAAAGAAAGATTCAAATTGATGATTATCGAAGGAATCAAAGATGCCCATTCCATGAATTTTAGAACTAGACACATCCGGAAGAAAATATTGATCAAATTCATCGATTGGTATCGATTCATCATATCCCTCCATCTT